AGCAGTTTTTGTCAGTATTTGCATGATTTTGACTTTTTCAGGTGCCATACAAACAGCCGTTACCAGAAGAGTATCTTAATTTTGATTACTTGAAAGGTGTTCGTAGTGAAGGGTTGAAGTACTACGGGGGCTCAGTAGAACTTGCCGACTACTGCCCTTATAATCAAGTTAGATTTCGTAACACTGATACTTAGTACCAATAAGTTTTTATCTTTTGATCTACAGTAAAGTTGAATGTTTTCAAAATATACCTTCTAGGAATTTGAATGGAAGGCAACAAATTTGACAGAACGACGAGATAGCCGTTGTGAGCTGCCTGGAAACTTAGTTCCCGAGGACACAAATACGATACTTGAAGTCTATGGTGAAGACTCAATGTGCTTTGACTTAAAAACTTCATGGACAGAAAAACGCTGCGGGATGCTAAGAAATTTCACTCAATATATGGCTGGTTGCTATGAGGTTTTTCTAAACTTCTGCATCTTCATCATTTCAACTGATAGAATTTAAACGAATAATGAATTTAATTTAGTACCACTGCATGGACGGTCTTCTTCACTTGCAAATATTCAATGGTTCAGATTTGTATCCCTGTTATCATCCAGGTCAACCAATTTATATCCGACGGGTTGGTATTTCTTGTTCTTGTTACAATATGGATGACTTTATTTAGATTTACAGACAAAAAATGCCAGTCTTTCATTACCTTCGGAAAAACAGTCTAGAAGTGACTTCAAAAATCACTTTTGTTAATTCTGCTCTACAGTGATTCCCTTTTATGGGCAGTACCAACACCCACAAATAATTTTGAGGATATTGAAAGCAAGCTAGCTATCAAACGTTGCAGATTGTGAATGGTTGGTTACGTGAAGGGACTATATTATGCCCGGCGTGCGACGACTTCTGTCAGCTAGATTCCTTCCCAGTGGATGACAAATATAAAAAATGTCGAAATCCCAGCGAACCTCCAAATGACTATATTGGAGATGAACCACTGAAAGAGCCATGTTTTGCTTGTGCTGTCAAATACAGTCTAACTTTGTTGTTAATTCTACTATCATTGCCTTCTTTTCTTTGATACCGGTATTATACTTATCACAGTTTTCCAAACTGTCAGCACTTATGCGTTCAGCAACTTTTTTAGTCGCTGAACTGCTGTTTGCTTTTTTTTTTCCGATTACATCAAAAAACCAGTGTTCTTCTTCTTCGGTTGTGATTCACTTGAATTCTTTTCAGTGATAGTCATTAATTCCTATCAAAGCTTTCAGTTTGTCTTACGGGTTTGTTATTCATTGTTATATGTTACTCTTTGTCCTTTGAGTAAATAGAGTATATTTTCTGTTCAAAGTAATATAAATAAAAAACTTGATTATGGTCTCTGCATACCTCCTGGCAAAACTGTTCGTTAAATAAATGTCGTAAAAGAAGAGGTTGGGGAAAGGAACTGGAATAATGAGTACTGCAA